AGTGGGATATCAAATTTAATTTTGTACGTACAAGGAATCCGTACAGACATGGAAATTTCAAAGACAGGCAAAATGAGGTATATATGTCATTCTGAGAACAGGGTTTCTCAACCTTGGCCACACTGAGATTTGGGGCTAGATAATTCTTTGTTGTGGAAGGCTGATCTGGGCATCGTAGGATGTTTAACAGCTAATGGGGCTGCTGCCCACTAGATGTCCGGTAGTGACCTTCCCCCTAATTGTAACAACCAAAGATGTCTCCAGATTTTGCCAAATGTTCTCTAGGGGACAAAATCACCCCTGATTGGGAATCACTGGTCTACAGGAAGGGGCTCCTTTCTGTAATTTCCGTCAGGACACAGCAGTGTCTATGTATTAGCAATGGCGCAACCAAACTGTAAAAAGAAGTTAACTCTAAGAAGAGGGAGTGGGAAGGTAAGGACGTGACATTTTATACATTTCTATATTGTCCAAGATTTTTTCTACTGAATGTTTATTATTTTTGAAATGTTAGAAGATCCAAAAATATAACTTTTTATTTTTAATTTTAATTTTTAATTAAATATTACTTTTTAAATGAAAATTTTCATTAGGAATTTGCAAGAAGTTCTAAATAATGAAGCTGATGACATTGGAGAAGAACTTGACATATATTTTTCTGTAAGTACCAATGTAAGCCAGATGATAGTTTAGCTTTCATCTGTTTTTTAGAATTTTTATTATATTACCTTAAATATGGGATTCCTTTTTATTTTTTTTTAAAGATTTTATTTATTTATTTGAGAGAATGAGAGAGAGAGCACATGAGAGGGAAGAGGGTCGGAGGGAGAAGCAGACTCCCTGCTGAGCAGGGAGCCTGATGTGGGACTCGATCCTGGGACTCCAGGATCATGACCTGAGCCGAAGGCAGTTGCTTAACCAACTGAGCCACCCAGGCGCCCTGGGATTCCTTTTTAGAAAAATTTTCTTCCCTGCCCCCTTGGGATTCCTTTTCTGAAGCATATTTTACTTCTGTATTGTATGACTTTCCTCGCACCTGCTCCTTCTTTGATACCTCATGTTTATATACTCTCAAAGAAAGTGAAATACAGCAATTATGCAATCGGTGTGAACACTGTAAACCACTAAATGCTTAGGATTATATACAACATATACTAGGGTAGGTTTTTAAATTTTTATATGTTTTTAAAGGGCTGAACTACATAAATAATTATTTAGTTCCCTGTTATTTATAGTTATAGGGAAAAATGTACTGGCAATAATGGTATTGTGGTTGTGTTGGGGAGGAAGAATTTATTCTTTCAAAGTCCTTCTAGTTGGACTAAGAATCAAATTGACATGACAAAGATTAACAGTGGGATATCAAATTTAATTTTGTACGTACAAGGAATCCGTACAGACATGGAAATTTCAAAGACAGGCAAAATGAGGTATATATGTCATTCTGAACTAAGGAGAAGGAGGTAGGGGCCTGGGACTTCAGAGGGAAGAAATGCAATTTACAGGAAGATGAAGAAGAGCAAATGTTTGGTAAACAAATGTTTGCTGGGTCACTGAGCAACAATGGGACGTAGAGGACTTTGATCAAAAGGGCCTTACTAGGTTCCTCTCGGCCCAGCGTGCCTAGTTCAGAGAATACTTGAGATTCCTATGGTGATAGCTCTCTTCCTGGAGCAGGACCACTATCTAAATTCTTTTTAGACAGTCGAGGGGGAAGTAAAGAGCTTTTCCTGAATCTGCTGGAGGTTTTTCAATTTTTTTTTCTCTTTTTCTGATTCTGCTGGTTTTTGATTGCTTTTTAACTCAGAAACAATCTTCATGCTAAAGTGGCCCATCATGGGGCAACTTGCCCGTGGCCCCTGCAGTTGAATTATTCAGACTTTCTTTCATGTTAACCAATATATTTTGGTTACAGATACACTGGGACAAAAAAGATGTTGCTTTAATTCCAAATGGGATCTCTGTACCTGTGGACCAAACCAACAAGTAAGTTTTGAGACTCAGAACATCTGCTATGAATAGACATGTTTGCTATCACTATAATTTATACATATACTTTAGCTTCTCAGGTGATCATTTTAGCTCTTCATCTCTGAGAAAGATAAAAAGGTTACAGGGTAAGAGAAGGGGAAAAAGGAGTCAGGAATAAATATTCCCTTTGCAGAACTTTTCACTAGTTATTCATTTAACAATTATTTTTGAGCCCTTCCTCTGTACCAGATCCTATTCCGGGTGTCAGAGATACAGCCGTGAAACAGACAGACAAAACCTGGAGCTTAAATTCCAGTGGGGCAGAAAGACCATATATAAACAAATTATTATGTAATAGGATGTCAGATAAGGAGGAGCACTATGATAAAAGTTCATTAAGAGATTTACGGTAGTGTTATGCTGGAGCCAGCTGGCATCCGCTTGTGAGAGCTGTTAAATTTTCAAAAATGTTGAGAGTTTATTATTCAAGTATTAGTAGCATGAAATCAGCTGTGGTGGGAATATTTACACCACAGAACCGGCAAATGCTGCAAATGAGGGTCCGTTTCCATTTTCTTCTCTTTAGAGAACTGGTTGTTCACCATTTGCCAGCACACCACTGGTTCCAGGGGATGGCAGAATGGGGTCAGATAGGACAGTCCTAGTGGGCGGTCCATGAAGCTGCTCAAAGGGTGGGAGACTATCATGTTTCTGGTGGCTGTGTGGTGGAAACAGCTCTTCCCTGCCGTCAGGAAATTCATCATGGGGGGTAAAGACAGACTTTTGCAGAAATCATTTCCACACGGTGACACATGTTATGAGAGAGGAGGGAGAGGGGAACAGAGGACCAACCCTGAGGAAGTCATGTTGCTGTGGACCTCTGATGGTTGACAGAAGTCAGCACGTAAAGAAGGCAGCATGCCATGGCCTAACTGTGAGAGAGGCAGGGAGCCCCCAGAGCTGAAGATTGGCCCGGTCAAAGATTCAAATGCCAAGTGGGAAATGGCTGCTGTGTCAGGCAGGAGTCAGATCAGGGAAGTTTGGAAGTTACCCTAAGGGCAACGGAAAGAAGGTCTTTGAAAGATTTTAAGTTGGAGAATTACATATTCAGATGAGTGGTTTTTTTTTTTTTTAAGATTTTATTTATTTATTTGACAGAGAGAGAGAGAGAGAGAGAAAACAAGTAGGCAGGGAGGCAGGCAGAGGGAGAGGGAGAAGCAGGCTCCCTGCTGAGCAGGGAGCCCGATGTGGCACTCGATCCCAGGACTCTGGGATCATGACCTGAGCTGAAGGCAGCTGCTTGACCGGCTGAGCCACCCAGGCGCCCTCAGATGAGTGTTTTAAAAGTATCTCTCTTGGAGGAAAAGGGCAGCAAAACAAAGTGTCCTGCTTCATACTCCAAGGTTCCTTCCTCCAGCTGACCACAGGTTTTTACTTCCCTCTGAATAATTTTTTTTTTAAGATTTTATTTATTTGACAGAGAGAGACACAGAGAGATAGGGAACACAAGCAGGGGGAGTGGGAGAGGGAGAAGCAGGCTTCCCGCTGAGCAGGGAGCCCAACGTGGGCTCGATCCCAGGACCCTGGGATCCTGACCTGAACTGAAGGCAGATGCTTAATGACTGAGCCACCCAGGTGCCCCTCCTTCTGAATAATTTACTTTTTTTTCTCAATAGAAATGGTATAAAGGGCAAAGTAGAGAATTTTAGTCAATGGCAAAGTATTTTATGGCCTTTTTTTTTTTTTTTGCTTCCCTCAAGGAAAGAATATGTTTCTGCATGCATTGATTACATTTTCAACACCTCTGTAAAGGCAGTTTATGAGGAATTTCAGAGAGGATTTTATAAAGTCTGTGACAAGGAAATACTTTTTAAACTTTTCCATCCTGAAGAACTAATGACAGCAGTGGTTGGAAGTACTGATTATGACTGGAAACAGTTTGAAGAGGTTGGTGATAACTAAAGTGCCCCTACTTCTTCTAAACAACTTCTGTATATTCCCCCTAAAAAACATTTTTCTCCCTCTTTTTCTCTAGAATTCACGATATACTCCAGGATACCACAAATCACATCCTACTATACTGATGTTTTGGAAAGCTTTCCACAAATTAACCTTGGAGGAAAAGAAAAAATTCCTCTGTAAGTATTACTAATAGATGGATTTATAACTATATATCTTTTTTTTTTTTAAAGATTTCATTTATTTATTAGATAGAGAGAACACAAGCAGGGGGAGCAGCAGGCAGAGGGAGAGGGAGAACCACGCTCCCCGGTGAGCAGGGAACCTGCCACGGGGCTTGATGCCAGGACTCTGGGATCACGACCAGAGCCTAAAGCAGATGCTTAACCACTGAGCCACTCAGGTGCCCTTCAATAAAGCTATTCTTTAAAAAAAAAAAAAAAAAGAGTAGGATGTTTAACCACTGAGCCACTCAGGTGCCCCGGAAACAATACACAATATTTTTAATGAGAATCATGCATGCTATA